TATACTATATATATATATATATATATATATATATATATATATATATATATATATATATATATATATATATATATATATATATATATATATATATATATAGCAAACACGTGTCACACATCCGCCACGTCGCGATGCATAGTTGGTATAGCAAACACGTGTCATGTGAGTGATCTGGTGAGGACCCGAAGCCAACTGAACGTGAAGTCTTGTGGCAGTGACTTGGACTGACGACCAACTTAATGCGCCCATGAGATCTCGAACATGACCTCACGAGCGTCTTCCTTCAATCCTAATAATCGTAGGCCGAAAGGAGAGATCAGATAAAGAACAGTACGTAATCTTTTCAGCAAAAGAGATGGAGACGAGGTTGGTGTGGCGCCATCACGCCTAGAGATCGTCCATGTCGATGTGGCCACCATGGACAGAAACTTGTTCCTCCTGGTGTTTTCATGAATTGGTCGTCAGCTACCTTCCCCCCTGCAACCTTAATGGATTAACCCTTCATGTCTACTCCACCTTCTACATCCCTGAAAGCCCCACCCCATCTGCAGTCTCTCTCTTCCTCACCTGAGCTCTTTTAAGCTCCTGTTGCCTGAGAAGCCATCTCTATTCCTATCCAATTCTCTCTCCACAGATGAAGCTGATGGCCAGAAGAGCCCAACTCCAGCATCACCAGTGCCACCAGCACCTCTCCCTGAAAGCTCTCCATCTCAGGAAATACTACAAATGGATCCTCTGGTTAGCTCTGTTCATCTACCTCTTCCTCACCACCACTCCCACCTCCTACTCTTTCTTGTTTCATCCCCTCGACCTCAAACCTCTTCTCCCGGCCAAAACCAATCCTCCAGCTCTCATCCAGTCTCCGCAGCCGTCCTCTGCTGCGCTTCCTAAGATATATGTATATGATCTCCCTTCTCGGTACAACAAGGACTGGCTGTCGAACTCGCGTTGCGGCAGCCACCTGTTCGCCTCGGAGGTGGCGATCCACGAGGCACTGCTCGGTTACCCCGGCCGCGCCGTCGACCCCAACGAGGCCGACTTCTTCTTCGTCCCCGTCTACGTCTCCTGCAACTTCAGCACCCCCAACGGCTTCCCCTCCCTCCACCACGCCCGCCCCCTTCTGTCCTCCGCGGTCGACTTCGTCTCCTCCCATCTCCCCTTCTGGAACCGCTCCCACGGCCGCGACCACGTCTTCGTCGCCTCGCACGACTACGGCGCCTGCTTCCACGCCATGGTGATAATCTAATTCTCCATTCCCACTCTTCTGTTTCACATACATGTATAGGATAAAAGCTCAACGGTGTTTACAGGAAGATGTGGCGATCGCAGACGGGATACCGGTGTTCATGAAGAGGTCAATCATTTTGCAGACGTTCGGGGTGCGGCCGCCGCATCCGTGCCAGCAAGCGGAGCACGTTCTGATTCCTCCCTACGTGCCGCCGGACATAGAAGATGAGTGGCCGGCGCCAGAGAATGCGAGGCGCGACATTTTCGTCTTCTTCCGCGGCAAGATGGAGGTCCATCCCAAGAACGTCAGCGGCCGCTTCTATAGCAAGTAATAATGAGCTCAGAACACGAAGAAACGCAGGCGTTTGTTCGAGCTCGTCATGTCCTTAATCGATTAATCGGCGACGATTCCTTACTGTCGGATGGATGCAGGAGGGTGAGGACGGAGATATGGCGGCGGTACAGCGGGAACCCGAGGTTCCGGCTGCAGAGGAAGCGGTCGGGGGACTACCGGGCGGAAATGGCGCGGTCGGTGTTCTGCCTGTGCCCGCTGGGGTGGGCGCCGTGGAGCCCGCGGTTGGTGGAGGCGGTGGCGCTCGGCTGCGTGCCCGTCATCGTCGCCGACGGCATTCGGCTGCCATTCCCGGAGTCGTTGCGGTGGCCGGAGATATCGCTGGCGGTGGCGGAGGCTGACGTCGGCCGCCTCGAGGCGACGCTCGACCACGTGACGGCGACAAACTTGTCGGCCATCCAGAAGAACCTGTGGGACCCGGCGCGGCGGCGGGCGCTGCTCTTCCGCCGCCGCATGGCGGAGGGCGACGCAATGTGGCACGTCCTCACGAAGCTCCAGGGGATGAGGCTCCGTCGCTCGTCGGGCGATGGCGAAGCTGTGAGAACCGACACGTGGAGGTAGCCGGTCGACCGCCGGTCGTACCGCGAGCGTCCCGAGGCTGTCGTGAGATGATTTGGCGACATGTTATTGGTCGTAGATCCCAGTTGTCGTAAGAAGCCAAATTTGGTGTACCTACACGTAATTTTCTCTTTTATTACGTGATTCAGAAAAAAAAAAAGCATACAAAAAAAAATATTATTACCACTCCGTTATATATATATATATGTATATATATATATGTATATATATATGTGTGTATATATATATATATATACACACATATATATATATACATATATATATATATACATATTTATATAGGTAATTCCTCTTATTTATAGCATGATTTATCCCCCTAACAACATATGAATCGACTCATCTATATATTAATTGAACTACTCAATATTTATCTTTAATGGTTCTCAACAAGAATTTAGCAAAAATGTTAATTGAAACTGACTCATCTATATTAATCGATCTACTCAATTATAAACATCAAGCATCTATTGTCAAGGAACAATACCCCCTTTAATAGCTCCAAACCTTTTTTGACATGAGTTACTACGTAGGCACAAGCTTATTGTATATATTTATTCTAAACCAATAGGAATACTTATTTGAAGTCCAACCTGTGCCGATTTTGATATATTGATAGTAAAGTTTTATATTAATTCACTCTTCAAATATATCACTTTCATCTAAATTATGGAAAAACTAAAACTAAAATATTCTCAATCATTTTCATTTTTTAAGAATGATTATATCGTATTTGTGGTGAAGTTCATTCATCCATTAAGCATCTAAATTATGATCGATAAATAAGGCTATAATTAGTTGACTTTTATCAATTTCGCTTATAAAATGTAGAATGGATCACTGACGATTTCTTGGTATCAAGAGGTATTTTAGGAGTTGAGGTAAACAAAAAAAAAGAAAAGAATTCTATTTCTTGATAAAATTCATCTCGAGAAGAAGAACAAGTCCTATTCCGGGAACAAAAGTCATCAAAGCCTGAACCAGAAACACTTGGAGTTGTTGTTCCTTCTACCGAAAGATATAACACTCAGGTCTCCGTTTCACCGGAAAAAGTCAAAAAGGATGGTTGGTGAAGTGAAGGAGCTCTTCAAAGATGCTTTAAAGAGTGGATTAAACAAGTTTCGTCGGAAAGATCAAAGAGTGGAAGAAGAGGGTTCGATAATAAATGGAGAGAGGACAGAGTTACGTGCGGGCCATTCTCTATGCTCATCATCGCTTCCTCTACAATAAGCATGGTTGGCAAGTTGGATGTGATACCACTCGGTGCGCACTCGTCTTGCGTCTCAATCAATGAGATTTATTATTCTCATATATGTTCCCATCGACGGTAACGTTTTGCCATCCAATTCACCGCATGTGAATCAAATATTAAACGAGGGCGAATTATATATATATATATATATATATATATATATATATATATATATATATATATATATATATATATATACAAGGTTCGTTGTATCGTATCGTACCAGCGTTTCGATCTGAGCTCGGTATGATACAGTATCGGTATATCGAACGGTACATCAGGACATACCGAATATTTTTTTATTTTTTCATATTGTAGCAGTGCTACAGTATAGTATTGTAACAATACTGTAGCAATGTAGCGGTACTGGGCGGTCCACGTATCGGTAACCTATCGGACCGGTACGTACCGCTCGATACGGGCGGTACATTTCGGTACGACAGATCTTATATATATATATATATATATATATATATATATATATTTCACTACAAATATCCCTTTTGTTAACATTAGGCAAGAAAAAAAAAAAATATATATATATATATATATTAGTTACCATAATATATTAAAGCTTAGAACATAAATATGATGATACATAATAAGCCTTTTTTTTTGTTTGTTTTGTGAAAATAGAATTCCAAATATCTATATTAATTTTTTCAATAAAATAAACTTTTTTTCTGATATTTAAATCAGAATTGATTAAAAATTATTTATATAATGAAAGAGTGTGTTTATATTTTTCTATTGTCTGAAGAATTACTGTATCAGATCGATTAAGAAAATATTCCTCGTAGAGATTTGATACATTAATAAGATTCAGGTAATTATAGGCCCATGCGTTGCATGATAGTGTGTTAAATTAGATGCATTGATCCTTCTACGTTGACGTGTACTTAATAACGTCCAACCTTGACGTTGCTATATGTATACACAAAAATGCATATACGCGTAGTTAATGTGGCCGTGCTTATGATTTCATGTCGAATCAAGCCTGTGAAAAATGGATTTAATGATGGAAGATTGATTGCCTAATCGGACCATATAGGATTTGATATTTCAGAATTTTACCTTAATTTTTTTTATAACATCGGATAATTTGGAAAATGATCGATTTATTCCTTTACTGTTTTGATTTCCTTCTCTCCGATGAATCGAGCCGACCAACAACGAGTAAGTTAGATTCATCAGTGTTGTCAGCCAAAATGATGATTTAGGAATGAAGAATGCTCTACGATTAAAAATGATATGGAAAACAAGAACATTAAAAATTAAAAATAAATAATATTTCTAGACAAATGGCATTTTTATCTATCTATTTTATTTTTATTTTTTCACTTACATATTATTATAGTTGGATTAGAAAACAAATGTTAATCTCGGAGATTGCGGTGGGCAACATTTTCATTTAAAATGATAAAAAATGTTAACAACTGTAATTTATTTTTTTAATTTTCCATTGAAACTCACTTAGATCGAACTAATCAAATTGGTTGGCTATCAAAAGACACTGTCACTTAATTTTCATTAATTTAAATTCTCAAAAATATTGATG